TATTTAATTACGATTTAAATGTAAAATTAAAGTAAAAATTCACAAATTATTTTCAAATTATTATTTATTGTTAAAAGATTTAAAAAAGAATAAAAAGCATTTGAATTTATTGCAAAATTCTCAAAATTAAAAAATATTAAAAATAACGCGGTCGATAAAATTACAATTTTAACTTCCTGAAATTTTAATATATAAAGTTTTTTTATTATATTTATTACTAATTTTATAAACATAATCAAAATTAATTCAAAAAATATTAATCACAACCATTTTCAATAATAGATATAAATAATGCAATATAATACAATTTAAAATTTAAATTTTTTTTTATTTTTATGAGAAATAATAATTTGAAAATAATTTATGGATTTTTACTTTAATTTTACATTTAAAAGTTAGCTAATAAAAGTTTTTGACTCACGAGACGAGAGATGTCTTGTATTATGTTCCTTTAGACAATTTTACAATAATCTAGCGGGATTGGACTTTTTTTGAGTTTCTCTTTTATTTTCGCTAATTTTCCTGGTGTAATGGCGATTTGTTCTCGGCATCACGAAACGCTTATATAATTCGATAAAGTCTGGAAAATATATTGTAAAAGGCTACGCGGGTTGTAGGCGTCGTGGTAGAACCGTGAATTTTTTTATCCGCTGTGGCCTTGCGAGAAAACGAAGGTAAGCCGATTTTGAGGCGATTTCGGAGGTAGACGATAAGTTGGTGTTCTGCATTATCTACTCGTACGTTGGTTGGTTTTGTCACGTACAGGGACGTACTAAAAAAATTGCTCGTGACGTACTACCACTGCACAGTACACACTTAAAATTATTTTCGATCTGTTTCACGAAAATTTTTGTCTAAAATGATCTTATTTAAAAAAAAAATTTGAAAAAATTCTGCCAAACCGTTTATTATGTCATACTATATCATACCAAATATTTTTTTAACGAAATTCGTTAACTATTCTGTTCCCAATTATAACACTATTAAAAAAAATCAAATTAGCCAAAAGTAGGAACTGCCAACATCTATATACCACTTTTCTGTCTGAAAAAAATTTAATATTACATTCCATAGCTCTGATAGCGAAGCGAAAATAATTTAATTGTGTAATTTTTTGTCAAATGTGTGCCTGATGTAATCTTTCCACTATCGATTTGTAATAATAAAAATTTTGAGTTGACCAAGAATTGTAATATTTCGATATCACTACATTTGTTTCTTATTGTTTCAGTTGTTGCTGGAGCACTTAGAATGTCTGGTGTCCAGGCACGAGCGCTCGTTGCGGATGACCGTGGTGAAGCGACAGGCCGCCGCCCAGTCTGGCGTGTCCAGCGAGGTGGAGGTCCTGAAGGCGCTCAAGAGCTTGTTCGAGCATCACAAGGCCCTGGATGAGAAGGTAGGCCGTTATCGTTCGCACGTGGGAGCTTTTTGCAGAGAATTTGATGTCTACTCACGTACATTTCCGTAAAAAATTCCGTTACTTAATTTGCCACTCCTATTGCACTTGGTGTATGTACTCTGGAGCTGGTTTCGTTTTTAGTTCTCTACATTTTGTCTGAATCAAACTCCTCCAACTCCTACATAGCAACAGGTTATATTTGGCGCAACTTTTTGGTTTAAGTTGATGTTTATTTTTCAGGTTCGAGAGAGACTGAGAGTAGCTTTAGAAAGGAATTCGAGTTTAGAAGAAGAATTAGCTTCAACCAAAGAAGAGGTGAGTCCCAATTTATTTTATTAAATCAATATATTATAAACTTTACCTCTACAATACATCCCATTTTCTATGAAATGTAGGAAGCCTTATAGTCCAACCAAATTACACTTGGAGAAAAAAAAAATTGTTACTTGGACTTTTATAAGTTGTAGATTATGCAACAACTGTTGTAGAGGTCACTTTTTAAGGTAACCTCAAAATTTCCGAGAAAAATGCGTGATAAACAGGTTTTTTTCCGATTTTTCGATTTTTATTTCTCATTTCCGCAAAAATAATTTAATTTTGGCGAAACTTGGTGAAAGTATACCTTTCCCTGTCTTAAATAACCTCAAATTTTTTTAGATAAAAAAATTAAGAAGTTTCTGATATTCATTTTTTTCGGCCTGAAACACTTTTTTTTTCAAAGAAAAATTCACATTCAAAAACTGATTACACCATTCAATTCTACGGAAAAATATAAAAAAAAACTGTCATTGTTTGACCCAAAACTTTATTTTTGTACAGTATTGCTATAAACATCTAAGTTGAATTACAAACGCACAAATGATTTGAGATTTCAGCAATACAAAGTTATTAACTGCAAAGTCTACTGTTGACGCGAAATCCGAAAACCAGAAATTTTGCAAAATCGTTTTATTTTTTCTGGCTTTATTTGAAAACGAATTTTAAATAAATTGCATATTTACATTGCTACTTTTTTCGCACAATCCAATGGCGTCAACATTTTTGCAATCCGATGTTTCGTCTTCGACGGGCCATCATCAGATAATTTTTTTTTAATATATCGCTGCTATTTTTATGACAAAATCTAGTCATTTTTAATTCTGTATTAAATGATATTACTATTGTAATCGCTTAAAAAGGTATATTTTATTATTTCTAATTTGTATTGCTAACAGTAGTAACTTCATCCAATAGATATTTTGAATGCGTTCAGCGCCGTACTGAGGGAAAATTTTAAATTATAGCTAAAACAAGCTAAAAACTTTACAATAGTAATATCCTCTAATTCAGAATTAAAAATGACTAGATTTTGCCATAAAAATAGCAGCGACGTATTTAAAAAAATTAATCCGATGATGACCCCTCGAAGACGAAACGTCGGATTGCAAAAATGTTGATGACATTGTATAGAGCGAAAAAAGTGGCATTGTAAATATGTAATTTATTTTAAAATTAGTTTTCAAATAAAGCCAGAAAAAATTAAACAATTTAGCAAAATTTCGGGTTTTTCCGGATATTTCCAGAACTACCCGGAATTTTTAAACTTTCTAAACAGGATATAGGTATAAAAAAAAAACAACTTTTTTCTAATCTGAGCCACCCCGTATCTCTTACCGTTTCCTAGATCCTAATGCTATCCCATCCTTATCTTGGACACACTGTATATCTATGAATTCATCAAACTTTAAAAAAAAAGAACGCTAATCGATCCTACGGAAAAAAAATATTATTTATTTTATTTATTCACTATTCATTCGACTTATGTTTGTAGCAATACTGTATAAAAATAGTTTTGGGTCAAACAATGACAGTTTTTTTTTGTATTTTTTCCGTACAATTGAATGGTGTAATAAGTTTTTGATTTTTTTTTTAAATTTAAACAAATTATCAACAATTACTGAAAAATTCATTGTCGTAAGTCATTTTTTACTTTTTTGCATTTTTGAGCATGTTTTTGAGCTGTGATTACAAATTTTTTTATTTCACCAAAAAGTATATGTCAAAACGAAAAAATGATTACCGGCAGAATTCTATACGATGATTTTTTAAGTAGAATTTTTCTTTGAAAAAAAAGTGTTTCAGGCCGAAAAAAATGAATATCTCAGAAACTTCTTGAATTTTTTATCTAAAAAAATTTGAGGTTATTTAAGACAGAGAAAGGTATAATTTCACCAAGTTTCGTCAAAATTAATTTATTTTTACGGAAATGAGAAATAAAAATCGAAAAATCGGAAAAAACCTGTTTATCACGCATTTTTTTCGGAAATTTTGAGGTTATGTTAAAAAATGACCTCTACAAAAGTTGTAGATTTTTGCATTATCTACAACTGTAGTAGTAGATACTTTTTTGTTTGACGTCAACTTTCGCCAGAAATCCCAATGATACAATTTTTCATAACTTTTCAACCCCCCAAATCAACCCTCCGCCGCCCCTGCTCACGCATTTATTAGCCCCTTTACCATTTCAACTTACGTGTCCAGCTAACAATTTTCTTTTTTTTTTTTTCTCTAAATTAGTTATTTTGATCGGTCTATTACTTGAAGACGGGATCTTTAACTAAATCCATTTATCATCATGATCATGATCTGTTAAAATTTAATGGTGAATTTGTACGTTAAGTAAAAAAATGTTACTAATCTAAAAAAAATATAGTTGGCGTAGTAATTTTAAATTTTTCAGTGGGTTGCTATCTTTCATGAAATAAAAAGAGATTAAAGAGATCTGTATAACATTGGCAACACCGCACGGTTGATCTTTGCATTTGCAAGCGTTATTCAGTGACTTTCCCTCGTACATTAGGGACGGCGACCCTAAGTTGCGACCTCTCCTTCGGCGATGCGAATAAATACAAGGAGGGATGCAGCCCTTTGAGCCCTACCCCAATCCGTCAAATCAGAGCCTGACCATAAGAAGCCACTCCGGCTTTCCCCGCGGCGAGAGATCTACCGAAATCGTCCCCAACACGGCAAACTTCATCGAGTACGCCGATCGGGCGACCCACATTAAATTACCGTCCGGCTTGGGCGGCACGCAAAAAAGGGTACCATCGAGATGATAAATGGCCGCCGGAATAATGTACCCAAATGGAATATAGAGTGACTGGAAGATCGCTTATTATGGTCCGACTAATGGGGGTGGCGTAGGTGGGCCGTGTTTAAGGGCTTATTTTCGCGTTTTAATGGAGCGCGATTCCGGTAGAGAGCGGGCGTGGCGGAAAAAATTAATAGGGTTAAGTTTTTGCAGGTTGATTTTTAATGCGTCGACTGTTGTTTTGGTTGGATTTGTATACGAGATTAATGCTTCTTCAATTGAAATATCTCAAAATAAAAAATTAATTAATTAAATGAATTGAAATATTCCATGTACAAGATGTCAGTGCAAGTATATCTCAAAAAAAAATTCTGTGTTCCCTAAGTATCCCTTCTTTTTCTAATTTGAACCATCTCTTGGACATGGTGTTTAGTATTTGAAAAAAATACAACATCAGATATTTAAACACCAAGGCAGGCACTGAAAATCGCGTATATCTTCCTACATTTTCTGGAAAAATATCCTTAGTCCAGTCACTGAACCTAAAGCCTAAACGCAAATATCTCAAAAACTACAAGTTTTATCAAAAAAATTATCATAAGCAAAGAGATTGCTTTTTTTAATTTTTGTAGATGGTATACAATCCGAGTTATGACTCCCAGAAGTTGAAGCCAATTTCGAAGATAGCTATAATCGAAACGTTCAACGTCCTGTAGCGGAAAAATTAAAGTTTTTTCGAGGAAAACTTATATATTATAACACCTATTAAAGTTCTTGAAAAGACCTTTAAATTGAGTGGTGGTAGAAGTCGTTAGTATGAAAACTAATGAAGTTACAATCAAAACAAAATGATTGTCTTGTTTTTTGAGAAAAAAAATCGGTATTACAATTAATGAGTTGACGGAAAAAAATAAACGTATTCCTTCTGCAATTTACTTTATTTATGTATTAACAATAGATTTTCTGGGAATTTGAACAATTTTAGAAGCAATTTAAAAAAAATTTTCATTTACTTTTGAATAAAATTTTTAAATTTTTTAAAAAATCACCTTTTTTCAAAATATTTCAAAAACTAACAAAGTTATAAAAAAAATTATAGAATAAGAAATTGTAGGTTTTTTCTTACTGAACAATTTGCTTTTTTTAAATTTTTGTAGGACAAAATTTGACTGAGTTAGAAGCTCAAAACTAAGCTCCAAGACTGCCTTTCCTGAGCCCTTTTAGCTTAAAAATCTAAAAAACGAAGGGCTCATAAAAACTGCAAATCACAGAACTTAAAGTGCTTTAAATTCTCTAAAAAATGGTTTTTTGAGTAAATTTATAACTTTAAAATTACAAAATTTATGGTAAAAAAATTAATCGCATTTTTTCGGTAAAATTTTCGGTGCGGGTAAATTACCATCATCTTTGTATATTTTGGAGCACTTGTGAACTGATTTGAGTAAGTATTTTAATAATATACATACACATATGTATCCGTTTATAATGTATATATATTTTTTTTATTTGATAAATTTAATAAAAAAATATTAAGGGGGCGATTTAGTATGTATATTTTTACCATGTAACAGAGCTTCAGATGAGGACACAAATCGTCGAAGAAACTAACATAATTGAATATTATTATATATCAATGTATTCGCAATGGTTCCCGCTAGTGAGTGAAATAAATTTCAATGCTCATGAGAACAGAAGAATAATTTAAATAAATCCCAAATTACCTCAATTTTAACCATACTGTTAGTCTGACAATATATTGCATTTACGACGGAACTAAGTCAGGCACAATAACCAAACTACTTCACTCACTAGAACGGACACTTAGGATCATTTGTATTTAATTTTCAGATTAATATTTATTAACAATTCTATAATTTGTGTCCTCAAGTAAGATGACAACATTTTACACACGACTCCATGTTATATTATATTATATTATATATTTAAACCAGAATTTTAGCGGTTTCTATCTTCTACAAGAATTTCTAAATAAAATTAGTTTGTGTACTCTGTCACAGGTGTCGCTACCCTTGAAAATGAAAGCGAAAACACAGAGTTGGTTTATTGTAAATTGTATTGGCCGAGAAATAGTGAAATTTCTGGCGTTTTTAGGTACTGAAATCTTTAAAAGTAAAACGTGTAGAACAAAAGTAGGGGTAAGCACAAAAATAAAATCCTTGATGTTTTGTTTATTCATGGTTACCGTTTAAATTTACCCAAATAAAATAATAACTAAAAAAAAGCG